TAATCAGCGTATTACTATTATTGTTTCACCCGGAACATAATGCAGGAAATTTCTTTCTAATCCACGTATTACTATTATTGTTTCACCCGGAACATAATGCAGGAAATTTCTTTCTAATCCACGTATTACTATTATTGTTTCACCCGGAACATAATGCAGGAAATTTCTTTCTAATCCACGTATTACTATTATTGTTTCACCCGGAACATAATGCAGGAAATTTCTTTCTAATATCTTTAGTAATATTATTATGGAAAGATTTTTCTAATCCGTGTATTATTATCATTATTTTGTGTCAGTGGAACTTAACGTGGAAATTTCTTTCTAATTTCTGTATTATTATTATACTTGAACAGGAATTTAACGGGAACAGTTCTTTCTGACCCTTTTATTATTATGTTTTAAAGAGAACTTACAAATAAAATTTATTTCTACTCTCCATAGTATTATGTTTTAGCCGTGATGTAACGGGACAATTCTTTAAGGTCTGTAAAACTATAGTATTTGAATTTATTTCCCCATAATGTATTTCCCTGTGAATACAGAAGCCTGAACCGCAAACTGATAAAAAAATTAAGTTCTCATCTCGTATGTATGAGATAATAGCACAGTGATGACGCATCCTTTCGTACGTACGACTTATTATCTCGAATGTACGAGAAATTATATCGTACGTACGATTTACTATGCCGTTCATACGAGACTAAACCTTCAACTTGTTTTTTTTTTTTTCACTTTGCGGTTCAGGTTTTCCGTATGTGACCAATCTCTTTTCTCACTAAAAGTGTAATATTAAAGCATACCGTTCAAAACAAGTATTCAATAAAGGAAAGAACCAAATGCTACTTGAAATACTAAAATAATGTATGTCCACTCTATTATGTAAAACATCATTGAAGAATAAGACTACAAACTGCAAGTTAGCTAAGACTAGTTTCTTTAGTCAACATTTATGCCTCAACACATATGATCGCTATCACGTATTATTTTACAGGAAAATTTCTGGAAAGTGGATCTTTCATCTTTAATGGTTAAAAAGTTGACAAATTATTCGTTTTATGTATATATATATATATATATATATATATTATATAAACATTTCTATATATTTTAGTATTATTTGCCATAGTTTGTTTGTAGTTAAGTATGCTTCTGAAGTGTGATGCCACTACAACTTTCACTACTGATTGTAACTTTTAACGCCAGTTTTTGATTAGAATATCCAAGTAATCATTTTTTTCAGCTTGATGTCGACATACCTCTATAATTTAACAGCATATAATTATACCTGTATCTCTCTCTGTATATATATATATATATAATGCTTTGACATTCAACTAGAATACTGGCATCCAAATGTTCGACACTTACAAACTTTCTGTTTGGCATGTTAAAGCTGTTATATCAGCCAGAAGTTGTCCAAGGGGCAACAGTAACTTTGTTGACTGAGTCGCTGTTACTAAGCCCTGTCGAAATGTAATCGGAGATACATTTGTGGACTGATCACAATCGTTGTTCTTCTTTGTTACTCTGATTTCAAGACTTTAAACAATGCTGTTACAGCTTTATTTTCTTGCTTGCTTAAAGTGTAGTTTATAATAACTACGTAAGACGATATTTGTTGTTGAATGTTTTACTGTGAGGATTTGATCCTGAATTTCCGGCTAGCCGCTCGTGTTTTAATAATAATAAAAAAATATATTCGCTTAAGTAAGCACGTGGCACTACAAGTTCATAATCTAAAATCTACAATAGCAACTAAATAATTGCACACAATAAAACACTGAAGTTATTAATAGTAATTCAAAACATTTTCTTAAACAAAGATTATTTTATAGGCAAATTTATTCAACTTTTTCATTTGTATTTGCATGAAACCTTCAGTTGCCTCATGGTTAAAGGTCCAAACGCATTTCGTGAATATGCAGATATGATGTCGAGCCTTTAAGTTTAAGTTAAAATCCTTATTGAAGTACCTGTGCCTATGGGCGTCTGATGAGAAATAATTAGTATTTCATAACATAATAAATGAGTAAAATAAACGTTTCTACCCAAGAAAACTGTATCACAAAACTCAGGTTTCAGTTACAGTGATAACTACAACATTAGCAGAACACAGTGAATATACATTCAGTTTAATAGGTGACCAATTATGATGAAAAGACTTATCAGTGATTACCGACCGAGAATTTGAAAGTCATTTTATCCAGAGATGTGAATAGAGTATATACTGATTCATATATCTAAAGAAGAGACATAATATCTTCTATTTCCTGCAAGTCGTAATATATCATTTTATCCAGACATGTGAATAGAGTATATACTGATTCATATATCTAAAGAAGAGACATAATATTTTCTATTTCCTGCAAGTCGTAATATATCATTTTATCACTATGGCTATTCCTCATTATCAATACACGATAAATAATTTTGTTTTATTTTTATAAAAGTAAGATAATTGTATTTAAGTCAAAATTTATTTACGTTACTGCGACTTCAAAAATATGATCAGTATTATTGTTTTTTTGGAACTTTACTAACGAATGCTAATTAACTATGTGCTTCCGTTGATTCTATTTTTTTCTTTTCCTGCATGCTAAACCAGATATCGTCAAGAAACCCGAGTTAGGCTTTTCTGAGTATATGTTTTGGTAGCAGCGAAGTCACTGATTTTCAGATTTCCTGCAGTATATGGGATATTCTTACTGTGTAAAACTAAAACTAAATGTTATTGTTCGAAAACCATAGCAGGTGATATATAATTGAATGTTCTTGAAATGTATAACCTGGTGATCTGAGGACTTCTCACACTTCCCTTCAACAAATTTAACCATTAGATAACACTTACTCGTTACATGTTAATATCTCTGATTCTACGCTGCAAAGAATCGGATATTAAAAATAAATATCACTTGAATTGCAATAATTGTATTTTACAATTGTATTTCTGTATTGTAATTTAATGCTTTTTTATCCCAGAAAATCAAAACAGATG